GCTCTGCTCTGCTCTGCTCTGCTCTGCTCTGCTCTGCTCTGCTGCCATGTACGGAGCACAGGGCCCCGCGATGTGCCCTACTCTGTACGTAGTACACAAGCCACAGGCCCCAAGCCCCAAGCCCCAAGCCCCAAGCCCCCGTTTCTTCCCTGCTCCCTGCCCTCTTGGACGCTAAGCCAGGCCCCAGGCAGGCAGGGTTCTTCGCATGCAGCTGTAGCCTGTGCGGTTGTGCTAGGCAGTTGTGCTCCAGGCTGGCCACGGGCGCAGCTCCAATCAACGTGCTTTCTGGCTCCGGGCAGGCACTGATTGAGACACAACATGATGAAGGTGCTAATCTTTCTTCGCCGTCATTCGGGAGTGCTTCTTCGATCCCACCCAGTGCTGGGCGAGGATGGGGTTTCATGCGAAACACGCCCGGATTGCTGAAAACTCGATCCCTCCCTCCCGCTCGTCCTGCCAGCTGCCTCAATTGGCTCTGCTTTGCCCTGAATCCCTGATGCTGTTGTGTTCTCGCGCTCTCTACTCCGTACGCCGCACCGAGTAGTCAGTCGACAATCAAGTCAACCAGGCTCCTCCGTCTCTCTCTTTCCTTCACCCTCACACTCTCACACACACTTTCTCACTCTTACTCTCCCTGTCCCTCCCTCACCCTCCGTCTCTTCCTTCTCTTCCGGAGCTGCTCCTCCTTCGACCATTGTAACTTGTCTCCCCCTCTCCGTCGCCGTCAGACCCGGCCCTTTTTGCCTGCTAACGCTATACAGTTCCTGCTTGGCCACCACATGCAGCAGAAGTCAAGCATCGACACATTGCACACGCTCTACCCCCCCGTCGTTTGCCTTCCAAGGCGGCCAACATCGTCCACACGGTCTGATACAAAGCCATTGATGGTTCCCGCCCTGCCCTCACCTGTCTACACCTGCTTCGCCTGCCCACGCCTCTCTGCGCCAGGACCTTGTCGTCACGAAAACGTCACTGCCCTCCCCTCGGTCGCCTCTGACTCTGCTCTCTGGCACCTGCAGCTCCCGTCTCCGTTAGCTCTATTAGTACCCGTCGCGGCGCGGCACCCTCGTCGCCCTCGGAGCACGCCTCGTCTCTCTTTAACCTTTACTCCTCGCCTCTCGCCTCTCGCCTCTCGCCTCTCCCCTCAAACCTCAGCCCAGCCCAGCCCAGCCCAGCCCAGCCCAGCCAAGCCAAGCTAAGCCCGCCAAGCCAAGCCCACCAAGCCTACTATACTAGTCTCTGCAACGGCTGGCTGTTCTGAGCTCTTATCTAACACCAACACTCTAGAGGGATCCAACAAACTTTCCTCTTTTTGACTTCTCTGCCTTCTAAGCCGTCGCATTTGTGTTTGGCAGTTTATCAAGACTTCAATTCTGGGAGCTTCATCACCTCTCCTCTTCCCTTAGCACTGAAACCGGAAATATCCAGTCTTGACGGTCACGTTGCACAACGTTCCAAAGCCAACGACCGAACATATTCGACATACATGCAGGTGCTTACCGGCAGTGCCAGCTCCTCGCAATCCAACCAATTTTGGACATCCATTCGCTTCAATTCGCTCATCTTGCGCCATCCGACCAGGGCAGACAACTCATTGCTCGAGTCGCGCCGGCTGCTACACCATCAAGCTGGCCGCACCGCCATTTTCTCATCTTCCCTGGCTGCTCAAAATGGAAGCTAGAAACGCCGCGGGTCGCCGCGTGTCACTGCTCAACGACGAGAGCACCAGCTACGAAAAGGTCCAGCTTCACCACCACAAACATCATATTGCCCTCCCACCATCCGCTGGCCACGCACTTAGTCGTCCGTATCCCAGCCCACGCAGCAGCTCCTCGTCACCCAATACCCCAGAGCTTCTGCGTTCGGACTCCTACGACTCTCAGATGAGCAATGATCCCATTTCACCTTTGACCCCTTCAGCCGACTACGCCCATCCAAGAAGATCTCTATACGCCTCCGACCTCCCTACCAAGCGGCCCGCCTATGTCGACAGCAGTCGGTCAACCTCGTATGAAGATGACGCCCCCGCTCCTTCTGCACAGTTGCCCGCAGACCGCCCTGGGAAGCGATATCCTTGCCGATATAGAGACTCTCATGGCTGCGAGAAGACATTCACCACCTCTGGTCACGCTTCACGGCATTCAAAGATACACACCGCCGAGAAGGCCGTTCAGTGTACATACCCAGGCTGCCAAAAGAAGTTTACCCGCGCCGACAACATGAAACAGCACTTGGAAACCCACTACAAGGACAAGAGCCGATCCTCAGCCAGTCAGCGTGCGCAAAAGGCTGTTCTTGCGGAAGCGCGCCGCAACTCGTCCACCAGTCGCAGCCGCTCGTCCGCCTCAACGACCACGACGAGCCATGAGGCTATGCAGTGGGAGTCGGACGCTTACGTCGCCTCTACGCAGCCTCTTGCCTCACCGAGCGCCAGCTCATGGGAACTACGCACCCACAATCTTCCCCTGCTGAACCGTCCTGCAGTCGCCCGGTCACCGAGTAGCGGCCTGGACGCCTTGGCCATGGCAGTAGCCTGCCAGGAGGGCAGCAGAAGACAATAAATAACATTGGTATCCTTGCAGAAGTGAAAGCATCGAGCTTTCACTTGAGAGAATACTTCGTCCGCGATATTCCCTCCCGACGGGCACTCAAAATTTCTGGTAATGCTTAATTCCGCACCCGACATGAGTCTTCGCGGTAGGCCTTGCGCGCACACTCGTTGGGCAATAAAACTCGGATGACGAATGGTATCTTTCTGTTTCCTCTTCTCACTGGAGGGTACGATGCTCATAAGCAGCGTCCACCTCCGTTCCCCAGCTAGCAAGGCGATGGAGTCATGTTTTGTACATTTTGGTACGAGGCGCCTCGTTTGTGCCGTCATTTGATCCGGCGTTGTTGATTGATATCCAGTTTTGCGGTGCGGCTTACGATTTTGCTTTTTTTTTATATATAAATCGGCGCTATCTGTGTTGACTCAGCACCACGGCGATCACACTGGAGCTTTGGGATTACAGTATACAGGCGGCTTGTACACGTTTTTAAGCACCTCATGAGCTTTCCTTATTTTGTCTTTTGTGTTCCCACCCATTTGAGAGCAGACCGAGTCGATCCTCAGCCTGTCCCGTCTGAACCACTTCTCTCCTGTCCTGAAAAGCTCCCGAGACGCGTGTCATGTCATGCATAATCTTGGCTGTCTAGAGCAGCGTGGGACTGGTTCACATTCTGGCGTCTCGTGGTCGGGGGGAAGAAAATTTCTGTTTTAACGAACTGTTCTATTAAGGGATGTCAGGCCATGCAATCCCAGACACGAGACACACACACACACAC